ACCTTTTCTTATCGGACATGGTGCTGCTCTGCTGGCTTTCCCATAGGTTGGCAATTTTCTAGAGAGCCTGGGCTGGGCCATATTACAGCCAGGGCTTTTGTTGGGAGCCAGGCTACCAAGGGTAGCACATAGTCATGGCTGCTCCCAGCCTTGTCTGCTTCTTGTCCTTTCCCATCCAGCTGACACAGGTTGGTCCAGCCACTAGCTGGTTGCCTCCAAGCAAACCATATGCAAAAACCAAGGCGGCGTGCAGAAATGAAGACTCGGGACAAAAATTTTGTTTCCATAGATATAAAATATTCCCTCTCTGTGGGTACCACCCTGAATTCCTCCCAAATATACCCAGAGTCCTCCCAGCCTGCCCCTCCCTGGCCCTCCTCTCAGTTACAAGGATCCATGCTGAGGAGCAAAATGTGGGTTTGCCCTAGATGACCTAATGAGTTGCCCTAGACGCAGGTCATCTACTGTCTAGCCTGGTCTGTGGCATAGGACCTCAACTTGTGAGAGTCCAAATACTACAGCATCCCGCCCCTCAAGATACAGAGAGCTTAAGTGCCACTCTTGGGGGTTTGGGCATAACTTCAAGGTCTTTAGGTCTTTATGTCATTCACATCCTTCTGAGAGGAGCCACAGACAAGGACATGACCTGTGAAATGGGATGCCGAGCGATGGGATGGGTACATGTTTTCTGAAAGGAAGAGCAGGTTTCTCTTTAGGAAAAACCTTCTAATGACCTACAAACTGCACTGCAGTACATCACACAAATGCACGTATTTCCTCTTATAAAGTAAAATGACTGAGTCCTCCCCTTGGGCTTTTGTTAGTTGGCTTTTGCAGCCTTCTGCATCCTGCAAGGGAGTCGGGACCACTTCAGTAGCTTAAGACCGAGGCTCTGAGGGCGACCACACCCCACCTTGTAGCTGGGAGGATGGGACCCATGAAAGCGAGGGAGGGGAGAGGATACATTGGATAGAACTGGGCTGATCCTCTGAGCTTCATTAAACAAACTCTTGACTGAGGTCATGTTATTCCTCCTCTCATATGTCCGGCAAGGACGGCTGTGGAACAACCCCGCGAGCTGGCATTTCACCTGCCCTGCTGCCCCTTCTGCCTTCCCATAGCCACGCTGCTTTTACACCCTGGGAAATCAGCTGGGCGAGTGGAAATTATGCTGGCTGGGATTTTTTTGTTGTTGTTCTTGTCTTTTTTTTTTTTTTTTTTTTTTTTTGAGCGCTTTTCTCCCGGGGGGTGCCCTGTTGCCGGGGAGACAGGGGATGGAGGAATCCAGCCAGGGCTGGGCCCCGGGACTGGGGCAGGGGCTGCGCTGACAGACACATCGATGTGAGGCAAATACAGAGAAGGGGGGAGTGAAACGCGGCGGCAGCTCACAGCCCAGCGCTTCATTTCCCAGCAAGGAATCCGCAATGAGCTACGCTCAACCTTTGGGGGAAACCCTCTGTTTCAAATGCTCTGCCTTCGAGTTCAGCCGGACCTTGTCTGAAGTCTCCCGGAGTGGCCTGAACGGCTGCTGTTCGCCCGGGGGCTGCAGAAAAGCTAGATCTGGATTTCCTCCCTCATCCCCCAGTAATGCAGCTGTTTATTTCAGAAATCAACATTTCACGATTTTTCTTCCAGCCTCAACAAGTTTTATACAGAAGATACACTTGAACCTTCTCTCCCCTCCCCCTCTTCAAAACCATGAACTAATTTATTTTAAGATAAAGCAGTTGGGGTGGGTTTCTTTCCTCCAGTGTTAATAATCTGTTTTCCTTGAATTGGATTTTAAAATGGCTTCCTTTGAAGCTTCAAGCTGTTAGGAATGAGCTTAATGTAGGTATGGAGGATGTGTAAAATCAGCTACTCCCTTTTCACCCTGAAATGTCAATAATTCTTCCAGTAAATAACTAATATGCAGTGTATAATATGCAGAATACTTGGAAATCATAGTAGTGAGCACTCACGGCACCTGTATTTTGCACCAGCTCTGCTGTAACCGAGTTTTGCTGCAACAGTGTTTTCAGGAGCACACCCACCGCAGCCATGGGAAAGACTGGCATTACTTTGAATTACCTGAAGCGGTCAGTGGTCCACTGGAGTTGCTAATCTGCAAGTTATTTTTAAACAAGTAATTATAGATGTGGATGTTGATTGTGCAGTTAACATGCCACAAAAAAAAAAAAAAAAAAAAAAAACCAAACAAAACCAACCCACGTTTGCTTGGAATTAAAGCTACACATTGTTTGGGAAGCGTAGTCAACCAAATAATTAAATTGCTCCTGGCTTAGACCAGTAAAAACAGATTTGACACGGAGTGCAAGTGATCGGATTTATTTTTCTCAAAATCTCAAAATTGATGAGAAAAACCTGGCAGTGTGCTTTCCAGCAACACCTTTCGGGGCTGGGGTGCTTTCTCCCCGTAAGACGAACAAAAGAAAGGTGTGGATGCTTTGGCACAGCAATTAGACCAACCCGGGTTGTTCTGCAGATCGCCTCGGAAGGATGTAAAATCCGATGTAGAGTGCTCCACAGGCGGCTTTATCGATCTGCATGAACGAGGTTAGAAAGATTAGGGGGATCGGCACATGGATAGAACAAAGGAAAGAGTATATTGAAGAAATATGTGCTGGAAACGGTGATGAACCTTTATCTGTACCTCTAGAATAGCTTCAACCTTAAAATAGTGGGTCACTACAACCGGGTTTGGGGGTGAGGGGGTGGGTACCACCTGGCGCTGGCTGCGGGCAGCCTGCCTGCTCTTGCCGGGGCTCAGGGCAATCTCCCGGGGGAGCCGCCCCCTCCCACGGCCGCACACGCTCGTGGGGTGTGAAGC